TTCATCATAGACCTATTGATGGAAATTACAGTCTCGTCGACTGAAGTCTCGGGCATTGATCTCCTTCCATGAGGTCCAATTATCGACTTAGAATACGCAGATGACAGTCCTGTTTGATGAAGACGCTGATAAAATGCAGTCTTTTGGTAGCACTAAGCAACAATGCCAGAATGTTTGGAATGCGCTTCTCTCCCCCTAAATGCAAGCTGCTGCTTCAGGACTGGTCTGCATCAACACCTGAACTAAGGATAGGGAGTGAAGTAGTTGAACGCGTTGACAACTTCACTTATCTTGGAAGTCTGATTAGCCCTAATGGGTTGGTGTCTGACGAAATCTCAGCACGGATTCGAAAAGCTCGCTTGGTTTTTGCCAACTTACGTCACCTTTGGCGGAGGCGAGATATCCGTCTATCAATAGAAGGACGAGTATACTGCGCGGCAGTCCGTTCTGTTTTAATTTACGACAGAGAAACATGTCCATTAAGAGTCGAAGATACTCTTAAGTTATTAGTATTTGACCACAGATGCCTTAGAAATATTGCTGGTGTCTGCTGCGATCACCGGGTAAGTAATAGTGAGGTTAGACGCAGGGTATTAGGGAATGATGATAAATCAGTTGATGAGGTTGTGAATCTTCATCGACTGAGATGGTTGGGCCAAGTGTTACGTATGCCTGAACACCGATTACCTCGTCGTGCAATGCTAACGGGTGTCCGGACTGGTTGGAAGAAAGTTAGTGGCGGCCAAACCAAAACATGGCATCAGTGCTTGAAGTTACTAACTTCTAGTCTGAGCCATGTTGGTAGATGCAGACTACTTGGTTGGGGTCCGCGTGACTGTCGTAACCAATGGTTGGAGACTCTTGGTGACATGGCTCAGAATCGATCACAATGGCGTCGGTGTATGCACTTTTTGTCTGCCCTTAAACTAAGAGATTAAAATCGCTTCATATCTTTCTTTCTACTAACTAATTCTTTCTTCCTGTACTGTATCCTTATATGCAATCTTTCTCCTATATATTACCACCTTTGACCTAACCACTCCTATGAATCCGGTGTTCATCTTGCTGTGCTAATGAGGTATGGCAACCTGGACCGATGCATATATGTGCCTGGTCCTACTTTGTAGCTGACTGACTGACCCACCTGTAATAAATTTTTACTTGAGTCGATTATGTAGTTTCTTGGGAATTAAAAACATTTTCAATCGTTTTTCATATGATATCGTATCTTACTACATTATTATTCTAATTAACTAGAAATACAATTGTAATGCTTCAGTAAATGATTTTATTTATTTGAACACATAAACATTGGTAAAAGGGGGCAATCAATACATATGCGCCACACATTAACAATAATGCCAGTAGCAGTAACCTAATGAGTTGCCCACTTCATGATCTATTAAATGCTAGAATCTACATTTAAGTGAACCTAAGAACTTTTGCTATCCATAAGTTTGATCTTCGTCTGAACTATAGTTTATGTTGGAGTAGGTACTAATCACAGGGTATAAATTATTTGGATAAAGCATCAGTAACTGATAATCAAACAAAAATTCTCAATTCTAGATTTAAATACAATGTAGTGTCTAATCTATGAAGAAAGTGAGAGGCTGACATGAAACCTGCAATATTAAAATTAACAAATATTTCATTCATTGAGTAAACAGTAGAACTCAAGCTTAATAAACTAGTATCAAATGTAATTATAGCGTTAGTTAGCTAGTTTCTGATCGATGTGAAAATAAAGCGAACCAATGTTTCCTCCATCTAGTTTTATCACTTTATAATCATGCTTAAGAGCAGTTGAACTTATAGCACGAAATAGATAACGATCCAATTTAAAAAGTCGACCTACTGATAAGATAACAATATTCAAACGGTCAAATAACCGGCCAGGGGTGCATTTCACGTCCTTAAGTCATTTAAGTGTATGATAGTAAGTAATCGCGGTTACGTTTTCGTTTATTTAGTCACTCCATGGTAAATATTTTGGAATAATTCCTATGATAAAATTAATTGTAGGTATATCTTTTGCTGTTGTAATTTTTTCCCCATAATGACTGATTGAGCTACATTTGACGCCACAGTATGATGATGGAGTGGTATTTTCGTTGTAGAAAATATTTTACATATAATCTAACAAAAACAACGGATAACAGAACACACCATTTATAGTGGATTAAAGTTGTGTAAATGATAATTCCGCTTCATTTTAGTTGGTCTTCATGTGCAGGCTCGAAATTGTGAACGAGGGTGGGATTTATGTTAACTCACATAACCCAAAATAAGATATCTTTTTCAAATACATTGAACCTATTTTTACGTGGTATTACAAGGTCAAGTGGTGCTAATAACAATTAGACAGATAAACGATCATCTTTGTAGCGTTAGACATGGTCCTACAGTAACAAAACAAAATGAAAGCAAATATAAGCATAAACGGTAGTCGTAAATGTTCTTTAAGTATGATAAAAGTATTCTGCTAAATAACATTGAATTTAAAGGTTATGAATTATAGTAGAATTAAGTTTACTATGTCCTTGCTAATCCGTCTAGGGTTACATAACAGTACACAATCTACTATTATTAATGATGATGATGAGTAATCGGTCACAGAAAATTTTTATTAGAATAACACATAAGGCATTATTTAAAAAGACAGATTTCCAGTAAAAAATCTTTGTGAGATCATGAAATCTTTGTGTTTTTCTTGTTTGTGTCCTGAAGAGCAAACAAGAGCCAGTCCTTTATAGACAGAAAATGCTTAATCTGACCTTACCGACTAGTAGTACTACTAGTGAGACAAACACACAAATACAGAAACGGAGATATTAACATGAATGACTCATCCTTCGACAAAAAAAATAATTTCAGATTTGAAGATCAACACAGGACGGTGGTGATTTCTGATAGTCTACACATAGTAAAAAATTTTCCACCAATGAAAAACATGCGACTATCGAAAGTAGAGATTAAAAAGTTTTCAGGTCAATTCCAATAATTTCTGCCTTATTTGATCATGAAAACAAACAGCCCATCTTACCCACATACTGTATACACAAATCCAACAAACACGTGCATGTACAAATTGAAAAAAGCAAACATGCTATATGAGGGTGGACATATTTTGTGAAGACAAAAATCACATGGGAGCATACGGCAGGCGTATAACCAATACAGCTGTTCTTTTCATCCCTAAAAAAACGGGTTAAGCTTATGAATATACAAAGAAATTCACGTCCCCAGGTCAAAATAATTTCGATATACAATAAACTGGTCTGATAATATTAGCATTCATAAAAATAAAGTAACTAATAAATCGCAGATATAAAACTTACTAACAAAGAATTCGTTTACTAGAACAAGATAATTGTCAGTTGCTGAGTCATTACAAAACCCATAACGCTTCAAATTAGACGTATGCAGTTTGTAGTACTTAGATATCTTATTTTCATACGCAAATTGCGAAAAAATACCAAATACAATATAAAATAATATGAAAATATTTTCGAGAAATTAACAATCTTTCGCTATACTGATGTGAAGTAACAAACTAGGGGGTTGCTTATGCTTAACAGTAGTTCATAAGCGAGTTGATCAGTTCGAATAATGGAGATGACTGTAATCGGCACGAGACCGTTGTAGTCGATCATACAGCTAAGGCAAACAAATATTCCTTCGCTTCATCTTAATATTTTTTTCTTTTTCTTTAAGCTCTTTCTTGCATTTATTACATCATTTTTATTTTAACTATCTTCCAGATTAGTAATCTGATTTTATCAACTGAGCTCTACTCATTTTATTCCTACCAACGTTAACTCATTATGTAATCACTTGTTCCTGGTCGTTTGAACTGTTATCACAATCAACGTTCTTTCACATAAGGTATATATTTACATCCTTACTATACTATATTAATGTGTTATCAATATAACTCCTAACCAAACCCTTCCATGTAATTTAAACCAATTATGTAATTACGATTTTCAATATCACAGGTTGTAAGCAGCTGACGAGAACCAACGAAATAAAATGAATTCACGCTATTCTGCTAGAATCGCTGTTCTTGCTCTTTTCAAAATGATAAAGGGAACTATGTGTACGATATAAACAAAGAAAATCCGAAAGGCATTATGTATTCAAATAATGCTCCCTGGTTCAAAAATAACAATACCAGTGTATTAATTACAACACGAATAAGCATAATTAGTAGAGAATTCATTCAATTCTGTAAAAATCTTGGTATCAAAATCGAATTATTCTTAAACATTCAAGTGGGAAACTTAAAAACTAACTATAGCATGCTCATAGCAAATTAAAAAAGGGTATAACTCGACCATGCTATTGGATTAGGTAGTTTTTGCATAAAAACAATTGTTTGATTTTTAATTGACCCAATTAACAGTCGTCTGTTTATAAAATTTCGAAAACTATCATTATTGACATGAGATACTGATTGTGGTATATTATAATCCACTAAAAATAAGGACCTAGTGGCATATAGTCCGTCTTAAGCGGTGATCCACCGCTTTACTGACTGATATAAGGTTATTCTGCTTTTACAACTAGTTAAGTGATAATAAGTACATTGCTAATATACCACCAATAATGTCGTCGGCATAAACATGAATGACACAGTTAACGGAAATAGCGGCTTGCCCATTATTTAACAAATAATATTTACATGTTACAGAGGCCTAAAATAAATCTATAATCGTAATAAATTCTTTTTACATTTTTATCATGAAATCTATTTTCACTTCGTTCAGATCAAATTTTAACACGAAATATTGTGGTACACTTCGAGAGAAGAGGCATTAGGGATTGATGCACGACAATAAAACAATATTACGTAAACTCGCATACTAATGAATCACAAATAATCACTTAATTTAGTTATTTAAATACAAACAACTCCCTATCTCATCATACTGACTAATAAATTAACATACAAAGAAATTCTGAAAATGAAAATATGAATAAATTGTAGGTGAATAATATAAAAAATGTAATCAGTTATATTTCATAAAATTAATAACCACTATTCAATTAGGGAAATGAACATTCAATCTATGCGTTTACATGTTATTATGCAAATCCAAAAATAACCACTTGTAGAAAATTATGCAGATTTGAGAATGAATAAGGAAAATATTAAACCATACAGTCTTAAATCATATTCATATGGGTCTGAATCAAATGTACTACATATATATATCTGGTGGATTAAATAAAGGGGTTAGTATTTTTCTGTCGTTTACATTTCGAGTTGGATTGATCAGTTTACTTTGCAGAAACAGAGTTAGAGGGAAAATGTGTCCTGGAGATCTACTAAATGTCATCATCTGTACAATCATAAATGTAGCCTGTAACCAACGTTGTGAAACGTTTATTTTAGTTATTCAGTAATATAATAAAAATAGGGTAACAATCTGAACTAATTGTTTCTTGAACAATTGCTGTGTATTTCAGAATTCTAAACAAATCCAATATTTTAATTTCTACAAATTCATGAAACAACTAGACACTTTGAAAGTGTACTTTGTAACTTCCCAACTTGTGGGGTAGGCAAACATAAGTCTCCTAACCGAAGGACGAGCTTCTACTGCATGGATGTGAAACATTGCCATTAAAAATAGGTGATAGTTGCAGGTTAATAACATTGGATCATAAGTGCCGACAAAGCATTACTCGTGTAGTTTGGTACCACGGCGTAAGCAATACCTGTATTAGGAATAGACTACTACGTAAAGATGGCAAATCCGATGCCGAGTTAAATAGACTTCATCAACTGAGATGGTTGGGACATGCCTACCGCGACAAGCGATACGGTTAAGTTTAGGATTAGTCTGGAAGACTAGGGGCGGATAGACATGGCTCTAGTCCACGAAGTCATTAACAATTGGATTTCGCCAAGTTAATATGTTTAGACTATCTGTTTAGGGTCCACATAATTATCGTAACTAGTAGTTAGACCTTGAATGACATGGTTCAAAATCGTTTGCAATAATGCAGATGCACTCGTTCTTCGTCTTCACCCAAGTTGAGATTTTAAATTCCTCATAACTTATTATTACCAGTAATATATTTCCCCCCTCGAATCGTATCTCCAGTGCCAAATCTTTCATATTACAACTGATATTGTTACTATCTCTACTATTGAGGGATTTGGCCTGACAACTACATCTCTGTGCTAATGGGGTATGGCAACTTGAACCGATGTACATACGTGCAGGTTCTATGTTGCAATTAACTAACTTTATAGTTGATAGCACTTGTATTTTAAACTTGTCAAACGAATTTTATGAATTACAGTGACACATTCATAGTGAAATTAATCAAGTTCAGGTTTATATTTGTACTAATTGATCTTCGCAAAATTTCATTACCAAAAGCATACTTTTATCGACTGCCTGAAAAGATGGGTTCGGTGATAAAACGAACCAGCTCAAGTTTTAACATTTTTCAAAAACATATTAACATAAATGTGATTGCAGAAAGAAGAAACATAACAAAAACACAAAGCAAAATAAATAACACGTCAGTGAAATCCAAGAATCAATAACGCGAAATGTCGGGAGAACATAAGCTGAAACGAATAGCGCGGGAAAAACAATAACCGAGAGGACCTCAGACGGTAATAATGTCACAAAGCACAAATGATCACTAGATTTCAACAGCAGAGATAATTGCTTTTTGTAAAAATCATTATCAAAGTGCTGCAACCTAGTGAAACTAACTAGAACTATTTAAACCGAATAGAACAAAAGCTATACATAACAAAATGTAAGAGAGAATTGTGAATATCAGGTTGTAAATGAATGGATAGTTAAGAGGATATTGTTTTGAAACGTAATTTTATGGTTCGACAAAAATTAACAGAATATACATGTATGTACATACAAACTATACATCTATGTACAGAATGAATACGGATTGATTTGTAAATAAGAATGATTATAACTACATAAGTTCGTTAAAATAAAAACAAGTAATGTGTTATACACTTATTCACTACATGTAGAAAGACTATGGTATGACAAGTGTTCTTTTTGTGGAGAGGATTGAACTTGGTGGATTTGATTTGAAGTAGTGGATGTTGTTGGTGCCAGAATACTATTCACGGTATTATCAACGGACAATAAATCAGTGTTAGAATTTGTTCGAACTCTTCTTATTGAAGGTGTATTTTGTGAATAACTATTGCCACCACAAAATGGATTAAAAACTTTTGGGAGAATTAACTGATGACGAATATCCAATGAATTAGTGGTAAGTGAACGCTTAAGACAACGTACAGGTGGTTTCCCTTCAAGTGGTTGAATAATTTGAGGTGAATTGTGATACTTTATTCGGTCTAAAGCACGAGCAACCTCAGAACAGTTATTATTGGTACTACCCAATGTTGCTGCTATCACACGACGACCGACTCTTACAACAACTTCTGCCAAACCAAGAGGACTGTCGACCACACTTGATGACGCTTGGTTACAACCTTCAACATTAGGAGAAAGCACAGCATGTTTGGGTTCTTCATTCACATTATCGGCAGAACAGGAGTGGTGACTTTGAAATTTGCTACACAGTTCAGAACCTGATAACATAAAAACAGCTACTATGAAAATTTATTCTGAATAGAAATACGTTTTTATAGTCAGTTGGGTTCATAAGCTATTTATACAAAATGAACACTCAGAGGGAATCAAGGAAAGGCATTCAAACTCAGTTACCACATTTATTTTGAAGACAGAAAATAAAAGACGATTTCAAATGCGGTAAGTTAACCGGTATTTCACCAAGTTAACACACAAAACAGATTAAATTAAAGAAGTAACAATTTACCCTAAAAAACAGATAGTTTTGGGAATATTGTTAAGAATATGAGCTTAAATGCTCGATTATTCATACGTGAGCAGTTATTACTACTCTTTTAAATAACTCGAAAAGGTAGTCGAATTAGTAATAAAGGTTTTGTCGAACATATAAAGTGAACACAGAGCTTAAGCAACAACAATTATGTGAGTTGTTTTAGATACTATATTTTGAACATTGAAAGTGAGACATGGTATTTTTAGATTCGACACTTTCAGTTACTTGTTGTGGATCACAGGATCATTTGGTAATGACAAGTAGCGAGCACTTTATACCACCACACCCGAAAGCAACCAACAATATAAATTTGTACTCGTAACGTGAGTTTGCTGCTTTTGGTATTACCGTTCTCCAACCGATCTGCCTGGCAAGATAGGACCTGAAGGAACCTCAAGTGTTCTAGCCAATATAGCTCGATTGGGTCATCACGGTCGGCAAGCCTGACCACCGCGTCAAGGTAGCAGCTACGGTCAGGATATTTTTAAAATATCAATGAGATAGGTTGCAATTAACAGCCAATTTCATATGGTCGTCTGAACTTTTCGGCTTTAGTTAAGTCCAAGGTCCAAATAAATATTCCACGACTATCGACAGAGATTTTTTGTGTGACAGTTGAAATGTTTTTGTTCAGGACTTAAGGATCCGAATACAAATATATGCGCTTGAACTGAAGCCACATTTACTTTTGAGGGTTCATCTGGAAGTATGTTTATTCTAACCGAAGATTTAAGACGCTTAAAACAATTGATTGACTGAACCGTGCATCACAATCCATATGCTTTTCAACATCACTGGACTAGCATACTGTATACAGATTTTGGTCGAGGACGACTACATAGTAGTGCAGCATTTGGAAGATATTTGAGCTGATCATACAAAATATTTCAAATAATAGTTTCTAGAACCGATTCAATCCAGAAAAAGCTCAGTTTCAAGGTAAACATATCGTTTAAGTTTAAGGATTGTTTGTAAAATGAAATCAAATTGGTTATGTTGGAAATGACAATCGTTCAGTTAAGTTGAACAAGTTTAGACGTCGAATGAAATTGTGAGATTAATAATCAAAATTAGTAATAAGCAATCTGTTTCACTTACATAACACAGTTAGGGCTTATAGAAAGTTGAGAAGTGCACTTAGTTTGTAGATCTAAATACCACTTATGCGTGGAATGTTTGATAAATTTGTAAAGTCGACTTAGATATAAGGATGCAAATAATTCCTTAACTACAACGCTATAGTAACGCGATACTTATAACGAATTCGCTTCCTACTACATCTAGTTAATGTTTAGAGTAAGCTTGACAGCAGAGTATAACCCCACATCATCTGAACTAGTCATTTATATTCATTCCTTTACGGAAGATTAGCCAAACAGTCAAGGTAGAAAAATCTGAAAATCTGAGCAACTTAGTCAACTTAAGCAGTCCGTTCCTATCTATAGAAATCAATTCAGAGCAGTTTTATGAACAGATAAGAAAAAGTGTTTGAGAAGCTAAGTCTTGAGGATGCTTCATAAGAAATGACAGTAACCTATACCACCTCACACAATACAGCACAATAATGACAATCACATCTATAACAAAAATACCTACCGGAAGGTGAGTAGTTTTCTTTGTTTTCATAATTGACAAGACCAGAGATGGAATTATCCTCATGCATAGGCAGTTCACGATCGGATCGAAATTGGTATGTTGGTGGTTCATGTGTTGTAAACATGTTATGAACACCAACCTTTAGATTCAACGGAAGTTGACAATAACTATCAACCTCGGAAACTGGTATTTGGGATTTATCAACTTCATTTTGTTGAGGTTTTATACATGCCATACAGGCTGAACTGACACGACGAGTAAGACGTTTATACAAACGTAAGTGATTCCGGTAATCCCGGTGGAACATTTTAACGTATTCTTGCGGAGTACATAAATGCTAAATAAAAAATAATAAAGATAGTTTTGTTATCTCGAACGATTGTTTTATACGGAAAGAAACACCAATAACGGCAGTCAACTTACTGGGAATTTTCGGTAAAATGCAGAATATCCACCTTTCATTATATAAATTTCCGGAAAATAAAGAAATGGATAACGATGGTAATTCGAAACACGATCGACGCTCCGAAGAAATGCAGCCCTTTAATGAGGAAGGATGAAGATCCAATTATTATCAGAAGAGAAACTGGATATAAAAATCTTCACAATTTTATATGACGTTACTTCATGTAATTAAACTACGCTGAGAAACTGGATTTTACACATTAATCTAGCTTTTCCATCCAACAAGAAATTAATACCTCAGAGTGTATCCCGCAGATGACTCACAAAATCAATCCAGGGTTTGAAATTTAAATGCTCAAAGGTGCGCCAGGTGTTAGGTTTATACTCCTTAGAATATGGGAGATATAGAAGGGACTTTTGATGACCTACAATATCGTAATCTTAACCTTAAAGGAAATACTCGTGAATGAGTTCAACACGCATGTTGTATTGTATGCATGATTCCCGTTTCTTAAGAGTCAGTCAGTTAGCAACAATGTAGAACTCCGTACGTACGTACATCAGTTCGAGTTGCCATACCGTATTAGCACAGAGACACAATTTTCGATTCAAATCCCATAGTGGTAGAGGCAGTAAAAGTAGCAAAGCCTAGAGATTCTCTACCGAGTTAATTGAAGTAACTTCCTTGAAGCTCTCAAGGATAGTATTCTAAGTTGATTTATGAGAGCTTTTGCATTTCTGCCAATGTCGTATATTAAAACCCAAACAAGCAGGTACTTGTTCGTAAGTTGATACAAAAACTCACTGTATTTAAAATCAGGAATCTTGAGTGGTGTAGACACAGAGTGATTCTAAGTTGTTTTGTGTATTTGTAGAACTAACAAGTGTCAGATTAGTGCTACCCTTAACGTACGGTTATTAAAGAACATTGTAATTAACTACCGTGATGCTACTGGGAAAATCACTGAAATAATTAACTCGAGAAAAATTTTCCAGTGAGAATTTAGCAGCTGTCTATTGTAACATAGAAATGCGTTGTACATAAAACGTAGGACTCGCAACAGAATTCGTGAGCCACTGACAAGTTCCAACTACAGAAAATTTAGTACTTTTACTTTAAACCGTAAGGATGTTTGGGATTCCAAGGTATGTAGTGTAACCAAAAGTCAATCATTTGTAAAATATCGTTATCTAACTTACAATGCTGGAGCTCGTTGAGAAGAAAATTCACAATGGAATATCACAACGAACGGAGGATCTTGGTTGCTTGATTCGCTAATATTTGATAAACCACTGCTAACATAACTAAGATCTGGTTCTGATTTTGGGCTATCACTATGAATATTCTTTTCTAAAATAACTTCATCGTTTGGATATGCAAGATCCGAATCAGAAATCTCCGAAGTTGTATTTTCAGGAAATTCATCTTCATCTTCATCGTCAGATATTAATTCGCAAGGTGCAGAAAGTGGCTCCCGCTGTGTAGTAGCTAATCTTCGTGCTAGATCTTCCCCAAGAAATCGTGGAGGTCCAGATGTACCAGGAGGTCTTTGCGCAGGGACACGATTAAATATCTCTTGAACTAGATCACTGTGAGTAAAAATGTTAATTGCTCCTTTAATGTGTCCTCCCTCATATTCATAAGGGAAGCGGCAATCAACAATGACATAATTGATATTACGCTTGGAGCCAGATATTAGATCACTGACCGTATCTGTAGACACGCAATGTAGGCCGGAACCAGTCCTATCTACTACAGGTAATGCACGCGCCCGTCTTCCATCACTGCACAAGCTGTGACTGCTCAAAGAGCCAATACAACGTGCAATCTACAGAAAGTATAAACAAAATTTTAGAAAAAATCAAAACAGGTGTAATAGCCTATATAACTAAGCTAATTATAATTTATAAGTATAGCATAGGACGATAGGACATTAAAGCTAATGGAATTTCATTGTATGGCATTGAATGCAAACTGGTTTTTTATGGAAAAGTTAACTTATTTGTTAACGTAATGGAAAACGTTGTACTCGCTTTCATTAGTGTCACGATGAAAAAAATAACACTTTATTGAAAGTTACATTTTATAATGGAGCTGAGTTAATGACGTATGGCAACTTGGACCGATGCATATATTTGCCTGGTCCTACGTTGTAGATGACTGACTGACTAATGGAGCTGAAGCGTCATGATAGTGCTAAAAACATTATTAGTAGAAGTATATGTAGGAACAAGATACTTATATATATAAATGGTTCTGGACGGGATAGAAACTTTCGCTTAACGAGGTTCCAAACCTAATAACAGTGGATCGCCGATGCCGCCAGGTTGGATCCTAGGTATATTTAATGATAAAAAAGCAAAAATACTAGTAAATTATAGAGATAAAAACGCTCAGTCCGCAGAATATGTCAAGTTCTTTTATAAAGGACTCCTAGGAAGTCACTTGCACTAGGTCAACTGACAGCGAATTCCCGCAAATATCAGTTATTTTATTGACGAGTGAACCTAGTACTTTAAAAGTAGCATTTTTTAAAATCACATTTTTGATTAAAATGATTTTTTGTTAGCGGCTAACAAGAAACACAATACCGTGGATAGGACTGCATTACAATCCAAAACAGATATCTTAGATGAGTGGATAAAACGATACAAATCAAGGTAACTTTTACTAAAATCTCAATGGGAATTAGTCAAAATGACGATGCTTTAAATCATTAATACTGAGTTGACGGTTATAAGGATCTTCAAGTTACTGTTAACTAGTAACTAAAAACTACAGCCTACTGAAAATCTAAAGCAGTCGAAAGTTATGCAAACATTTTACGGAACTTCTTACATGAAGATTTAGATTTAGAGGATTTTATACCTGACATTTATGAATGAGAAGCAAACTGTTCAGAGCACCAGAAAATAAGAGACAATACTCTAGTCTAATCTACTAAGTTGAAACACTTTAGGTCCTTCTGCCCACAACCATACCTTGAAAAACCTTATTGTATTTTGATTACTTATACTGATACGCCATACCTGGTTTTTAACACTAGGGATAGACTGCTTAATAAATATTTATAGTTGAGTTTAAGACTAGTTTCTCTTTAACATCTTATTGTTAGTAGAGACCCAGAAAACAAACAAACCGTTTAATTACCACTAACAAGTAGCCTGGAAATAACATCACAAATGACCAAACTGGCTTAAAAAAGTGCAAATAAATTTTAATCCAAGACTAAATACTATTGCTCACAAGTTACATCGGTATTCACCGAGCTCTTAGTCTAGGAAATGGGAAAAACGGTCAGATTTGTTTCGAATAAATACAAAGTAGAAATCGTCTAAAGCACAATAAATTAGTGGCAAAATGATTTTAAAGTTAGTGCCTGTGATAGTTTTTCACAACTACAAGAGTGACATTTAAAACTAAATGACATATAGTAGTCTTACTAAGAGACCTAACACCGAAATGACTGCGTATCGTGAAACGAAACAGTATGAAACAAATACGGAAACTCAAATATGCGTTAAAAATTGACGTACCGCATCATAAGAAACAGAATGCGTTTCGGAAAGACATCTTGAAAGTTTAGGTTTATTGATATTTTCATCGTTGAATACCTCCACAGGAGAACTTGGGCAATGTTTGTATGAATATGAAGATGGCATAGGAGTCGAATGATGACGCAGGAGTTCAAAAAATGGTTTCGGACCACCATTTGGATTAGAAAATAAAGATCCAATATTATCATGTTCTGAATTTTCATTTAACTCCTCTGTGGGTATCGTAGAATTACAATCATTTTCTTTTGGTGATTCTATGCGTTGCTTTTTAGGTATAGGATGGAGCAAAGAACTTGAACATTCCATTCTTTTTTCAGGACTAGGACTTTTAGCCGACGTTAAAAAGCTAACTAAATGATCTCTAGGGGGTGAGGCTTCTGAGGTGCTTCCTGAACCCGATTCACCTACAGGCGGAAGAGAATAGCGTCTCAAATTGCACGGATTATTATCATGGATTATGGCAGCAGGACATGAATTCGTATCTGTATTTGCAACTCCCACCAAGGATGTATCTCTCTCTCGGGATATACCAGAAATGCGAGGCCATTGTTGCCGGTTATGTCTTTTGGCCAACCATCCTCTGCTAGAACAAGAATGAGCTCTCCGGAGTGTGCTGTCACCTGGAGCCGCTGACTCAGTAGTTTCAAAAACGCTTCGGATTAGTGAAATAGGAGGATCACGATCCGCAGTTATTTCATAGAACTGGAATTTCTTCAAGATAAACTTAAAAAATGTTTACTTACGCGTTCACAAATAGATGATGCCGGAGCGGAATGAGTTGTAGCACCACTATAATAACCGGAAGAGCAACTGTTGGAGTGTTCGCGAACAAAAAATTCGGGGGCTTCCGACCATACTGATGTTGTAGGTGGCTCTTGATTCGCACTAATGCAACGTAAGGATATAAATTATTCAACAAACCTTTCGTCTATGTCTGGAGGTATTATTTCTGATATTTGATGAACTGTTATTGGATAAATTACAACATGTAACACTGCTTACGTTTTGGTGCTGTTTTCGTCTTAGATACTTCAAGAAAGTTAGCCTTCGACAAAATTTTTGATAGACGGGTAACTGGAGTATCACTTGAAAGGTCACTCGTGTTCATTAATTCAGTGTTTTTGACGATGCCAAAGTTAGGCATATGCACCACGCGAAGTTTTCAAAAACTCGAATATCGTAAGCCCGCCCTCAAACTAGGTATTTTATACACTATATTCAACCAATTGTAGTAGTAACAAACAACCTTGAGATTAACCAGCTGATAATAGCTGGCCAATCATATCACGAAGTGTACGCTCGAATTTCAAATTGTTTTTCAGCTTCTGCGCTGTTGTTGATTTAATCAACTTTCTATTTTCCCTAATCCTTGGAAAAAATAGTTTTATATATTAAAGAGATTAAATCTTTTTTTCCGATAATTGTCAGCCGGAAAAATCAGTTCTTGAATCCTTAAAATTGTTTGGCTGTTATATAACTTGTAGTTTACAGTTTTGGAAGGACAGGAGGCTCGGTGGCCTATGTTAGTCCTGGCAATGATGGTCTCTCAGTTGATCCAACTTTCTTTTGAAAGAGTCGACGGATGGAGCCTCAACCACGTGCTGAGGTAGTGAATTCCACTCGTTGATGATTCGATGGGAAAGTCGATAGTCAGCTGACAAGTAATTTGTTCTCGGCTTAAGTTAACATTTTCGCGGTCTACCTCTTAACTATATAATTCAGATGGTAAACATGTATTTATATGTTTTAAAATAGATGAAGAATTAGATCCAAATGCAAAGTTCAAAAGAGTTTTCTGCTCACTAAGAACTTCGATCGAGAAGATATACTTAAGTCCCTTAGCACCTTAGACGCGATAAAGTCAACAGGATCTGATTAAGTACACCTTAAAATCTTGAGAATAATTGCAAAGTATACTGCTGATTCGTTACCTACGGTATTAAATCTGTCATTTGGCCAAGGTGAATTACCCAAGGACTGGAAGAATGCCAATTTCCATCCAATAAATAAAACAGGATCAAGACAACTTCTGCAAAACTACAGACCTATCAGCCTGACCAGTGCCGTGGTTAAAATACTAAAAACGTCACTAAAATGACAAAAATGACATTCGTGGAAACCAACAACTTGCTTAACATCGAAAAACATGGCTTCAGAAAATTTTTATCTTACACAACAAATCTCCTTATAGCAAGAACGAAATGAATAGAGGCTCTAGGTAAGGAAAAATTAGTGGATATTGTCTTCATAGGCCTCAGAAAAGCATTTGATAAGGTGCTGAAAAGTAGACTAATCTTGAAGCTGGAAAATATAGGCATCACCGGACCCCTCCAAAAGTGGCTTAAGTATTTCCTGATAGTTCGTGAACAGAAATTAAAAACAAATTCCAAATGTTTCTTTTGAAGTCAGTGCTTAGTGGGGTACGGAAAGGCTCTGTGTAAATGAACCCCCAAATATAGTTGAGTCCCCAACGCTACTATACGCTCAAGAAATAACAAGATGAAGATGCATGTGCATTTTAGGCAGGCTTAGATACTCTGATTAGCTAGTCTAAAGAGTGGTTGATGCCTATGAACGCGGTAAAAAGCGTCTAAATGCACTTTGGATATACAAAGGTAATTAGGCACAGCCTATGGAAAGTGCCTGTACCCGTGGTCCGTTCTCACAAGGATCTTGAAGTGACAGTGAGTCATGATCTTAAGACAGCAGCCCACTGCTGCGAGGTTGCAGCTAAGTGGTTTATAACCTTATGGAGTTTAAAACGGGCATTCATCAATCTAGGCACTACTATATTTACTATGGCATACACAACCTTAGTGAGAACTAAACTTGAAAACTGCATTCAGGCTGCAAGCCTCTGTTTAAGAAGTATTCCAGATATCTTGGGAAAAGTACAGCACCCCGTGCAATTCCAGAACTCCGAGGTTTACCATACAAATAGTGGCTTGAAAAGCTAAGCCTCTTTACTCTGTTCCACCGCAGATTAAGAGGTAATCTGATTTTGGTGCATAAAATACTAAGAAATGGTTTTGTACCTAATATATCCCCTGTTTTTATTTCTACCAGATCGGGACAACTCAGAGGAGTGAAGCGAAGATTGAACAAAACACCAATGTCATACAGGTTATCACACCGTGTCACCAATTCTTAGAACCTTTTACTTGAAGCAGTGTTGTAAGCACCTTTAATTCTTTCATTCAAGGGAAGACTAGACACCTACAGAATTATACTAGAAAGGGAATAACATAGGTCGAAGACCTTCTGTTCTTACTACACGGATATGAATCTGAGTCTGAACCTTCTCTTACAGGTTACGTAATATATTGGTTGGTCTTGTGCTGAAGGATACTAGATTTTACTCGATCAACAGCGAAAATTGTTTACTATATTTTTACAGAGCTAGGAGCTGAAAGTTTTAGGCAGATTAAAAATCTGTGAAATAATGTCGCATTCTTTTGTAGGATCGAAGAAACATTGTTAATTACTGTAAATAGTTTTTTTTTTCGAGGAGTTATTATTTTGTTTACATTGACATTCAAAATTTAATTTTGAATTTTTCAGTAAACGTACGTCTGGGTTGCCCATATAATTTGGTTGCATGAAGTAACCTTTAAAAAGACGAAGACCCAGATAAACCACACCTAAAATTCATTTAGTTACCACTCTTAGCTTTCGAAAATATTCTTTTTAGGTTTATGAAAACAAGAATTTCATATGAATTCATCTTCTTAAAATAAGAACACTTACAGCACTTTGGTGAGAGAAAAAGAAACAGTACAGCTCACACTCAACCTATTATAATATCATTGTTCCTGATTTGATTATCTGCACTTTGGGTATCTGTGAACGTCCCAACACGCTCTTTGGAGTTCTAAGCAATCTCGTTAAAAGGATTACTCACGAATAATTCGTTATTTTTATTGCACCAAGCAACTCGGAGGCTTTTGATAGATCTGATCAGCTAACGCTACGACAGTATTTTAACTTTAAGATCGCCTTTTAATGTGATATGATTTTAAGACCGTGGTTAACAATATGCTTTAAAGTATTTGTTTCAATAATCTGAGGCTATGTTACACCTGTAAAAACCATTCTAAGTAATATCAGTCAGTCAGCAACAACGTAGAACTTTGTACGTAAGTACATTAGCACAGTGATACAATTGTCGATTCAAATCTCATAGTGGTAGAAGTGGTAAGATTATAAGTAGTAATTGGAAACATTAGGGTTTGAAGATGCTGTTCAAAAAGTGTAATCCAGCAAAGTCAACTTGGAAAGAGAGAGAAGAAAGGGACATGAAGAATTCAGAAGATTACAATTTGGGAGAACACGAAAAGTAGATGTACCTGCGCCATTGCAAACGATTTTGAGCCATTTCATTCAAGGTCTCTAACCATCGGTTGCTATTGTCTCGCAGATCCCAATCAGGTAGTCAACACCTACCAACAAGGCTCAGTCCACTTGTCTGTGACTTCACGGATTTATGCCATGCTTTGGTCTGGTTACCCCTAGCTTTCTTCCAACCTACTCCTACACTATAAACTAATATGAGTAGTAACGACTTTGATCAAACCAACTAATATTTTCAGGTCATGCAATACATCAGGCCAGGCTTTGTTGCGGTTTATCAGTTGAAGCTTTATGTTGTTAGTAAGTGTTAACGATGGCAAAACATGACTTTTTACTAACTCACTAGACTTAAACGAGAATCGGAAATTTTATTTTGAAGTGGAGTGTTTCAACGCGTCCTTATTTATCGCAACTCTGTTTTCTGAGGGAGGCTCCATTTGGAAAATCTTAGGATGTTATCATAGCTTATACCACTTATATTATTTTTGAGTACTGTCTACAACATGTTGGCCGTTGCTGCTACCTTGATGTGATGGTCGGACTTGCCTATCATAGTGAACCAATCCAGCTACACTGGCTGGAACAATCGTTCCTCAAGGTCTTACCATGCTAGACAGCTTGTTTGAAGAGCAGTAAACCAAAGGTCCGAGGGCGAAGTCGTACTATAGAATGTACGGAGGTGTGACGGTAGTCAGGTGTTTCCTTCAGACAACCAGCATAAGAACGATGCTGCTTTCCCACAAGGAGGGATGGGGTTAAAAATGGTCGACCCTAAAAATACACACCTCGCCTTATCTCACGGACATCCGTCTCCGGCGATAAGGTATCAACAAGTACGAAACTAACACGAAAATTACTCACGAAATGGTCGTGTAAGACTGGCCCCAAGCAGTTGGCCCTTGGGCACTGCGGTCACGCTCCCAGGTTACTAAGACCACCTTTAATCCAATTTCCGTTTTAGGTATTTCTGGAAGAACCGTTCCACGACGTGGGCAACCGGAAAGTGATGACTGCTCTCATACCTCTGACAGCACTTAAGAGATTTTAGGTTCAAAAACCCTCAGGTTAGATTCTCCATTCTCACCTCTCTTATTAATTTACTCACGTTCATATTTTTTACCCTCTACTGATGGCCACACTACATCTGGGCGCAAACCTAATGACTTTTAAATGTCACAAAATATTAACTTAAATTCTCCGTTCGTTCTCTGTCCGTTAATAACTGGCAAGGAGTTCGAGTTTTACCTATGTTAATTTACTTCTTTTCGTAAATACCGAAAATATACAGTACTATTTTTTGAATTGCCTTGACAACTACACTATTCAAATTGATAGAAAGTGTATAGCTGAATATAGGACCTTCGTTATTAGCTATTTTCCCATTAAAAACTCTGTCAAAACTCTTGTTAAGCTGAAATTTCTCATTTTTGGTTCTTATTCTTGTATATAATAGAGATCCCAGAAAGCCATTTGCAAACTTTCTGTCATAATATTTGTATTTTTCTGGTAACGCTGGTAAACAGAATTAGGAACACTTGACTTCTTATTAAGAAATCCTAATATCTGACCTCTGGAAACTAGTGTCAAAGATACTCTTAGTGTTTTTAATCCAATTTAAAATGACTATTGTAGCACAGTAAGTATATTCACGCCACCAAAGAGCTACGGGGAATTTCCTCTTCACTTCTCCATTAGCCTGGTAAGTTAGGCAAACAATAAGTCTTCTACCGAACTGCATTTCATACTTTTTGAAATGGTAAAATATTTTTATAGCTGATTTTGAATTATCTATAACTCTAATGCTCCATGTACAGCGAGGAAATTGTTTATTGCCATTAACCTCCTCGAACTGTTAGGTTACATCTATGACTAACATTTCGCCAATCGAATCAAAAGGTGAACAGTTAGTACTGCCACTTAAGAGCACTAGCTACAGTACTTATAGACTATGCTAAATACTTCTAATTGAGTGGATAATCTGACATGTAGTTCTTACACAACCACAAATGACTGCTCTATAAAGAATTCATTTAATAACTGGCCAAAGACTTACCATACGTGTTAGATGAAATCTCTTCATTTTTCTATAGGATTAAATTTTCATTCCTTCTATTGGCACTAAAAAGTAGTGTAAATTAAATTTATCGTTCTGTCGGTGTAGCATTCGCCTTGGGAATTAATTTATGTAAATCAAACTACCTGATGAATTAGATTCTTGATTGAACTCAAATGTAAACCTATTTGAAGAAAAATTTGTTAAAATATTTCTAATGTTAGTCTGGGGTCTATTAAGATGCTACCCAATCTAGATTAAGACTGAAGGCTATTCTTGTGAAATGAGAAAACCATTAATTTTGGAGAAGCCCTATTTCATCAAAAAAAAGTTTTGGAAAACGCCACAAATACATCACTATAACACAACATATCATTATTACGCTACACATTCGATCTGCTCGTTCTTGTTTGCTTGGTTTAGAAATTACCAATAAAACGGGCCCTTCAAAGACCTTGGTATGTTAATATAGGGGTTTATAAAGATCAATATTCCATATAAACTCTTGAATCAGTTTAAAATTTAGTTCGTATAAGCTCAGCCAACTTTCGTCCAGTCAGGAATATGTAGGATATTGCTCATTTTTCTTCGAAATATTATTCATTAGTAAAACATTGGAAGACATTTACATGAATAGAATGTAAATTCTCTTCCGTAAAAATATGTAACCAAGAGACCAGGTCTGCTCCGCACATATTCAGACGACATCCTAAGATTTTTCCTCTTCTACTTTTTTAAATGTACCAATTTATTAAGGATGACTCCAAAAACCAAATTCATTAAAGTCTATGCAGTTTCTTAACCTTTAATGGGTCATATTGAATACTCTCATATTAGTAACACACTTTGTGTTGAAAATGATAAAAACTGATAATGGTGAAATGTGCAACAGATTTAACTGTTCTCCTATAATTTCTTTACTCTATACGATTCTCGTAAAAACACTGTGAATATCAATATTGAAGATGCTACAGGTATTCGGAGTTTGACAATATGAATAACGTGGTACGGATCAACTTTCTTTTCGCAAAATACAGTGTATCATTAGGTAGTTGAGGATCCAGTATGATCGTGTTTCTGGTAGTGTTCCTGGGACAGTGAGTGATGAAAGATATGCCCACGTTTTTGGCTCAAACTGTCAAATTCCTAATTACAGGCATGTGTTTATCAATTATATTGTCTAATATGGTTAAAATACCAATTATCTGATTCTTTTATAACAAACGAAATGGCAAAACATTCTTTGTGCAACAGTGATACTTATTTGATATAGAAACGTTAACGATGTACAATAATAAAAATCGCAAACTAAACCAAGAAATTTCATAGCATATTTCTTTCCTTATTGCGTTTCATTTTAGTTACTCCCAGTGGATAAGTGGGGTCTGACACTGAAATTCTCTTCTTTATTCAACATTGTTGTTAATGTCTATCTTTACCACAATTAAAAAACAAACAAAAACTATACGGCTAATCATGCTTCCGATGAAAAATAAGTTGAGTGTTATCGATATGTTTGCTTTATTCATTTATCAATACATAAAATACAATTTTACTTTTTAACTGAAAATGAATAAGTAAACAAATAAGCAATTCTCCTTTAGAACAATATAATAAGGTACTTTAAATAAATCAATGCAAACTGGTGCTTCAGTCGATCCAGTAATATGAGAAATACTTTATTTAAAGAATCATGTGTTCATATGCATTCTGTGAAGTCCATTGAGTAAATTTATTCTTCTTGTTGTCTCTAGTGAATCTGTAGTGACCTGAATATATAATTTACTAGATACGGGAAGATTTGTTTTAGACATGATTTCTTCACTAAGTGTATCCAGTGTGTTTGAGGTTCCCGTAATTTCGATTGTGATTACATTACCTGGAATGAATTTTTTTAAAGTATAGTGATATAGCGTTAAATAGGGTCAAAGACATGACAGTAAAAGAAATCATTTGTAGCATTTCGTGGCTTTCATACTGTTTCACAAGTCATCATTTACTATTCAGCTTCTATCAAATCGGTTGGATTAACCTTCTACTACGGAATATTTGAAATTGTTCTGTGGTATAATTTGAATAAATCTCTTTGTTGTTTTTTTGTAGTTTATATCGTGAGCTGACTGTAGTTTGACAACCATTAACGTTCAAGAAACATTCCTTCATAGTGTACCTCCATGACCCCACCATGGATTAAACCCAAAATTTTCAGCCGTTTCATCGACTGTTTAACCTTCTAAATACTGGATTGTCTATCAGTGTCTTACATTTCTATGATCAGTATCTCTTCCTTATCTTGACATCTGAATTACTTGTTTACAGTTGTCGATACTTCATACAAAGCACTATATATTCCATATGGCTGCTTACATTACTATAGAGACTACTCTTCTGAGTATTCATTTTTAAAATTTAAACTGAATGATTAATCGAATCCACCGCATCAGATCGACAAATCAAATTAACATTATATTCAAGTATAATCTGAACAATTGATAAACTACAATAACAGATGGGTATATTTCACAAGGATGATTGTGCTATAAAATGAGGACTTAGGTTAACCTTTTCATTTAAAAATAGATTATTGTATTATTTCAGTAACTTTTATGAGAAGCAATAGTTTCCATTCATTTTTGTGTTGATTGATTTGTAATATATCGGTTATTTAACCTCTATTTTTACTGTTTTTATATTAGTTCATATGACTAGCTATCAACACTAATACTCATAATAATAAACATCTTCTTCATAGTCAAATGACGTGGATAATTGTTTATTTTTCTATCCATCTAATCTTTTAACAAGAAGTAATTTTCTTGTGGAAAAATTAAAACAACTAATAGTGCTAACCTTAAGTGAAATAACTGTAGTTCACTGAACCAAATATAAATAAATAAACTACAATTCAAATTGCTACCATCTGTAAACATAAACATATAGTTGTAGTCTGACACCTAATACCATATTAACGGATTAAAAATATCAATGTGTATAGCTAGGTAAATAAATAAATAACATATTCATGTATGTATAGAGTTGTATTGCGTGTGTGTTTAAGTAAGTATATGTTTATAAAGCGTGTATCCAGAATAACAGAATTATCAGATCCATCATAGAAAACAAAAATCGAAACCATACGGTCACACATACATACATGTATACATACACACACAACTACCATCGTCTTTGTCAACTGTCAACATGAACATATTATTATATTACTATTACAACTGAAAATTTAATATATTTGAGAAAACACAGAACTCTTATTTTGTTTCCACTTAAGTGAATGACTCAGACAAAATATGTTTATGGTCAAGTTTTCAATATTATTATTATTATTATTATTATAACCATTACTAATGTTAATAAATATTAAACCACACCAAGGAACAAAATGTATTCATGACGTTAGAAAATAAGACTTCACAAGTTTATCTACAATCGCTTGTTACTTTTTATAAATTAATTTTAATCGATAACAATTGTATGTGCGGTTATATATGTTTAACATTAGCAAAAAAGGTGTTATTTCTCAAGTTAATTCAAGAAATTCAACGGAAGTAATAATAATAATGAACTGATCTTAGATCCACAAAACCCAACACCAATGACAATGTAATACTAAGAATAGTAATAGATAAGTTACGACAATATCATATAAATGACAAGATGTGCAGACGATTGGCTTCAATAATGAACTAGGATTACATATAAGGTTATATGGTGAAGTTATACTAGGTCATTGGATTTTACAATCGATATAACCTGTTGATTATGACCTTAAAAATCCTATAATTATTGAGGCAACAAATTCTTATACACTAGATAATTGTACTACACATATGTACATATAGATACCTCTGTATTAAGAAAAAATTGGTACTAATCTTATAGTTCTAGTTTTCACTATTCGTGATTAAATACGGTGTAAGTGACAACTAGTTTACCTTTGGTTCTCATAGTGAAACAAAGTTGGGACTTATAACTCAACCGATAAAAATCAAATGGTTTAAGAACCATTCAGTTACCAGTTACAACATTAAAATGGTAGACTGAGAAAAAAATAGTTGAGTGATAACCAACATCGAGCCCAAAAACCAAGATTTCATACTAATTGGTACTCGCTATCAAGAGCTAACTCCGATCATTAAGGACTACTGTTCCTCCAAGAATTACAACCCATACCACACAGAGGGTTCAGGCACGAACACCAATTTATTTGTGTATCGAATAGCCACATCGGTATCACTATTGTCTATCCTGGTCTTAGATATTAAAAAAATTGAATGACGTGTGAGAATCATAAACATGTGCAAACCGATTTCAAAATACTTCTTAGAATAGTTCTTTGATCTCATCGCACCCTTGTGCCACTTGAAAATATTTAGTAAATGAACTGACATTATGGATCCCTTCCTAAAATTATTTTCTGAGCCAGATAGCTATTTCTTTATATTTTCTAACTCATTATCAGTACATATACACAATCGTATATGGGAATAAATTCACTATCTTTAATTATATGACAAACAAAATACATTTAATCCATCAAGATTAAATCCAGAGGTTCTTGTTCCCAACCCCAGTCAATACATGATCAAGTTGGATCATCATCCGTAAGTATCCGTCACTAGTAATCAATCTTGAAGAGTTCCACGTCGGAGAACATCAGCTATACAGTTTATTTTCTTTTTTCAAAGGTTCTCCAGCTGATATCATTTGGTCATAAAAATTATGTATGAAATGTCGAGTAACGTATTCAAATGGTCACATTATCTGTAAACAATAAATGACCCACCATTTCATATTTTAAAATGAATCAATTGTAATTATTTTCTTTATGATTGATTAGTTTAATGATAACAACATACACATATACACACTGTCTTTGACCAAATAATAAATGAGAAATTCCCTATACCAGTTATAACCTGTTTAGTATATTGGCATAAACATCATTTAGGAAATAGTTACCATATAAGTTAGCCATAGATTAATTAAATTTTTACTGAACTTATAACAATACAATGAAAATCATTATAATTCACCAATGACAATTTTTAAATACCGTATTTTGTAAATAAGTTTATGATTGTCTCCATAACTATTAGGATTAATATCAGTAATTAAAAACATTAGGTTATACAAATATACTAAAGCAGATAGTTTCTTTAATATTTTTTAAAATCGTGTTCCATATAATATTAGAATTCTCAGTACACAAAGATGTTCAAAGTACAACTAAAATAGATAGTTTCTAGATTAAAACCAATGAAAAAACCTACTTCATACTAAGGTGATGTATCTTGTTGACAGCTGGATGTTTAGAATTAATTGATGTAAAGCCTTATCACAATTTGGACTTTGTATTTGGTGTTACTGATTGCCAGTTTAAATTGTATTGTTATAAGGATTCTAGTTGAAATGATCTAGTATCAATGTTAGAACTGTTATTGCCAAGTTCTTTTAAAATCACTATTTTTATACATACTCATATTAAATAGAGAACAACTTAAAACCAAAAATTAGTGAATAGCTATTTTGTTCTATTATTGACTATTTATTGGTATGTAGACACGGTTAAATACCATAAACAGCTCATTAACTTCGAGGACCTCAGAGAGCACAGGACTTCTATTCTATTGTGGTGAATTTGAACAATTCCTTTATTGAATTATTGACACAACACAACCGTATTCTAAAACTATCGACGAAAACTGTTGTACTTATCATAACTCATTATTTCGGTTACTTATTGAGTCCTAGCAAAATCGAAGGAACTGCACAGTGTTTCATGGTTCTTCAGTTATTATTCGTTCATAATTTTTCTTTAAAAATATGTATCAAAATTTAACAGGTTTATCACTGACAGTCACTTTTCTTTAACCAAGTCAACTGAATGATAATGCTCTTAAACAAAGTTCATACAAATGTAGACACTCAACATCAACAATATAGGTAGACAATGTTCTAACTACATATTTATTGTTGTAAAAAATAGCTAAGAAAATACGATTTCATCAAGCTCAATTATATGTTGACACATATGTTATTATGGGATTCACACAATGTTTGAATCCACAATCAAATTTGTATATAATGAACCGGGTAAGAGAATACGTCACACTATTCGTTCAAGTTTTTATTATGACATAATAATAACAATAATAGTAATAAATTTTGTATTATGGACAGGGTAAGAAAATAGGTTACATAATTCGTTTAAGTTTTTATTATGACATAAGTAATAATAATCAAATTTATATTAATGAACCGGGTAAGAAAATACGTTACACTATTTTTTTCAAGTTTTTATTATGACATAAATAATAAGTATTAGACATGGCAACAGGTGACTTGACAAGGAAAAACTAAAAACAGAAAATGAGGCAAATCTGGTTCTTATGTAATCAAGTGACTATGCAACTACAACCAAGTAATGAGTAATATTTACCAGTATTGTAACCAATTTGGAAAATATAAATATTATTATCATTTGTTGTTAAGTAGGGTAATAAGCAAAACAAAACGGAAAAATAAATATTTTAAGAACTAATAGATCACATAAATATAATGTCTCAAAAAATTTTAAGAAATCTATGTGGTGCTTTTTTATTGAAACTCCAACTGTAACAATCATATGAAATTAGACAATAAAATTTTGGAAAATGTCAAATACATGTCATCTTCAAATAACAACAACCGCTGATATGTAAAAGGTTGAATGAATGAACCTTGTCACTAAACACCAACTTCATTGACTGTTAGAAGGTGTTTGACAGTGTGGACAGGAGAACATTGTGGAAAATTCTTTGACACTATGGAGTTCCTGAGAAGATTGTCAACATTATCCGGAACTCATACGACGGACTACAG